ACCATCCCTACAGTGAAGCATGGCGGTGGCAGCATCATGCTGTGGGAAAGTCTTTCAGCGGCAGGTACTAGGAGACTAGTCAGGATCGAGGGAGAGATGAATGCAGCAATGTAAAGAGACATCCTTGATGAAAACCTGCTCAGGACCTCAGACTGGGCCGAAGGTTCACCTTCCAACAAGACAATGACCCTAAGCACACAGCTAAAATAACAAAGGAGTGGCTTCGGAACAACTCTGTGACCATTCTTGACTGGCCCAGCCAGAGCCCTGACCTAAACCCAATTGAACATCTCTGGAGATATCTGAAAATGGCTGTGCACTGATGCTCCCCATCCAACCTGATGGAGCTTGCAAGGTCCTGCAAAGAAGAATGGGAGAAACTGCCCACAAATAGGTGTGCCAAGCTTGTAGCATCATACTCAAGACTTGAGGCTGTAATTACTGCCAAAGGTGCTTCAACAAAGTATTTTAGTATGTGTTTTTTTGTCTTTTTATTTTTAATAAATTTGTTAACAAACTTTTTCACGTTGTCATTATGGGGTATTGTGTGTAGAATTTTGAGGGAAAAAATGAATGTAATCAATTTTGGAATAAGGCTGTAACATAACAAAATGTGGAAAAAGTGAAGCGCTGTGAATAATTTCCAGATGCACTGTAAATAGACTGCAGGGTACATTATGCCCCCTTAGACCAGTCTGTGATTGCTTTACTCAAAAGCACACCCCAGAGATCTGAAAAGCTGGGTAAATAACTTTGAGTCCAAAGCATCTTGTAGTCCCACTTTATCATTAAGGCTATGAGGACAGCTGTATTATTACATAACATCTTTTCTAGGACAGGTTTAATTTCCTAAATGTTTACTCTCTTCTTCTTTAATCTCACAAAGTGTGCTGCGTTTGTTTCAATTCTTCTGCTCTTTTTTTCTGCACTGTTATACTAAACTTCCTCATGTCTTCTATTCTCTTTTCTTCTCTTCCTACCTGATTTTCTTCCAGCTACTCCAGATGCTTCTGCAGTGCAGACAGTCTCTGAGCAGGTCCAAAGTCAAAGTGTTAACAACAGCCAGCTCTCAGTAGTTCGGGTCAGTGAGGAGCATGCCAGCTCCCTCACTTTGTCAGAGACTGGATGACTTTTCTCCTTTCAGACCTTTCCTATCCTTTCCTATTGGACAAGTGACTAGTGTATACATCTGTAGTCACTATAAAAGTCCTCTTCATGCATCTAAAATGCATATATCCTGCAGCCAGTCTTAGATGCTATTGCTACTAATGGAATTCAATAGACTTCATGCAAATGCTTACCACCACATCCTTTTTTAAATTTATACCCAGAAAATACAATGTTAGTAAAATTTGAATTTTGCAAAGCTTGCTTGGTAGTAGAGTTGTAGTGATGCAGTGAGCTGCAACTGTGTGCACTAGAAACAAAACTTTTACTGTGGCTACAAAATACAGATGGTTCTGCTTTTGTGAATATGATTTCTTTAGGGCAGCTGGACCTTTGTAGTTTATATTTTTGTATTTTTGTGAGGCTCTGTCCTTTCTTAAGGCCTAGATGTTTTTAATATATATGCACATATTTTGCTTCATGCGTATTTGCATGAAAATGTCAAGAGCATATATGACTTTGATAACTTAAATTATGAGAAAGAAAATTGCTGTTACTGTAAGCTGTGAAAATAGTAATGCATGCAGCATGCTTGTTTGTCCTCTGTGTTCGTCTCTTTCCCTACCTGTCTGTTTGCTTTCCCAATAAAGCAAATCATTCACACTTTCTCCTGCTAGTGTAAAATAAATATGATCACTGGTGTCAACGGCACTGTTCTCATCTGTAATTAAATGTTATTGTTTTTACTCACTCCTTCTTTCTCTTGGGATTTTGACGTGTTGCCTGTATCTAAGCCATTTCAGCTGCTTAGCCGTGGCTTTTTCAGGTTAAGAAATGTGACAAATAGGCACTGACATCTGTCTTGTCCTGTTCCTCTTGATGTTATATTATGCAGTCATGTGCACAAACGCATTCATTGGTTATTGTGTAATTAATTATGGGAGAAAAAGCATTGAGCTGTCAATAAGTTTTTCTTGCATGATAATTGTGTCAAATAAGATCACATGGTAAACCTACTGTGGCGAAAGCATCCATAATCTCTAGTGTCATCATAGAGACTTGATCTAATGTGCACTGGAGTAAATGCTCTTCCATGACTATGTAACTAATCAACAGTATGGCTGGGAGAGGGGCTGAAGGGGACTGCAGCCATTATAAAGAGTGAGGTTAGCTGCTCTCAAAACAAACCATACTATAATGTTTGCTTCTGGATTAACTAAGCAGGATGGCAACATAAATGTACAAGCAAATATGCAAATTGATGCTTTTCTCCAGTGATCATGTCATGCTTAGGGTACACTGAAATGAAATATGCAATTATATTCGACAAACCAAATGACCAGATACAGAGAATATAAATTGAAATCTTAATCAAAACGTTTGTAAGATCTTTTTTTAAAATGAAGTCTTGATTATGCAAAGCAACAGTACACTTATAAAAGGTTCTTCCAGAGCACTCAGTGAAAACAACACGGAATATAAGTTAGCAGTTAATTACATTTTAAAAACGGGGATCAAGAGATGGCCACTCTTATCTTTTGGATGTGTGCATGAATACATTTTTCACACAACAGAATTTTAGCAAATCTGTTTATGTGTTTGCAGAAAACTCTAGGGATTAAAAAAAGTATTTGTTGTGTAAAAGTAAAAACATAAGGAACAGGTTAGATATTGTGACAATGAAATGGAGCTTATAATGGAAACTGATCTAACTTGAAATACACGTTTTTGCACCATTAGATGTTTGAAGAATTTCTCTGCACCTCCATTTACACATACTTAACAAGTTCTTAAAAGCATCTAAGAAAAGGAAAGCAGTGAGCCTTTCCAGAATCCAGTTTCACAGCCAATATCGCACAAATACGCTGAGAGAAAGAAAATTAGAGAAAAAAGACTTAGTCTCCATCTATGATCTCCCTCACACAAACATTGAATCAAATGCGACTGAAAAAACAGAGTTGATCCCTCCTATTTGCCATCCTTGAATGAAGAAATTCTCAGCGTCATCAAACAGTTGCAGCTGTTGTTGTAACAGCTCAGACACATTTCTCACACATCTGTCCCCTATAGCTCCGAAAGGGCAGTGAGGAAAAGGCCATTGAGGTTCACAGCACACCGACCGATGAGTGACGAACTTGCGAAAAGGAATTTGGTCTGGTTACAAGTCCTGCTCTGTTCCTCAGGAGGCATTATGTGTGATATCAGTAAAACAGCCTGTTGCTAACAGATACATCACTTCATAGCTTTTCTTTACAATTTTGACAATTATACTGCCCCAGTCAGACTAACCTTCTTTTAAAAATTCCACAATGCCAAAATGCACTGTGCCTGCAAGTTTTCTAAAAAATTCTACCAGCTGTATCTGCGCTTAACTTTTGACATTTAGTGGATGTGTGAGGGTCAAGGCCTTTTGTAGAAGGCAATGTTAACCTTTAATTATTCCACTATCATACACAGCATGTACACAACAGGAAACATCGGCAAAAAAAGGCACCAGGACTCCAGGTTTTTCCAAGATTAGAACAATGTCTGAGTCTGAGACACATCTAGGTTTCAAATTCTGACATTTAATTACAGCTCTTCATTTAGCCATCACCAACCCAGGCTTTAAAGCCTTGCACTGGTGCATCGTCTCTCCAGGTTTTGTCAAAATCAGTCCATTATATAAAGAAATAGGAAGAAAAAGAGGCAACAGAAAAGAGCTTATGAGTGAGGGAGAAATGCGCAGGGATAAGAGCGGAAGACGGTCTCAGAATTCAATCAAAACACAAAGAAATCTATTCACAAACTTCTGATGGTTGGTTGATTATTCTAAGTCTGCTGGATTCACCAAACACAGTAAAACACGGGACTAAAATCATTTCAGGTTTACTCTGACCCCCTCCGGCAGCTTTTGACATTTGGTGTGTGTTTGTCATTTGGTTTCTTGGCCTTCATTTGTGTATCCAGTGTCTCTGCAGCATTTGTAGAGCACCGGGAAAATGTTTGCTTTGCTACTGAGAAAACATTCCAAAAAAAACTCTGTTTGGCCCCGATTGGCGTCTTTCCTTTGAGCAATTTTCACAGCTTTTAAACAATAGCTACTGAAGTGTATAATCAGACCAACATTTCTTGCTGATCTATAGGTGTAGTTTGTGAACCCTCCCCTGAGGCTGTTTTTTGGGGGGTCTGTTGGACCCTGTTTGCTTAGTGTCAGCTTTATTTTGGCGGTGCATCTTTCATGTTTAAAAGCTGTCTTTCAAATCCAGTGCATGAAAGGAAATTCTGTTCCAAGAAATGAATTTAAAATACCCTTAGAGGTTTTCTTTTTCTGCAAACTACGGGTAGCATTTGATCTTCTTCTCAAAGAATTGCTTTAGTTTTCATGAAAAAAAAACAAAGAAATCAAATCGATTCATTTCAGTTTTAATCTATTTAAAACTGAAATGAGGCACACCTAGACGTATAAAATGTAATGGCTGCAGGGTCTACTTTGCATCTAAAGGTTAACAGCTTGTTTCTCGTTCAAAATCTCCATATGCAGGCAACCTGTTCTAAGATAATCTTTTCATGTATAATTTTAGGTATTATCAGACAGGTTTGGGGATATTTGCAACAGAAAAACATTTAGTCTCAGTCATGCAGTGAAATTCTCCGTGAAACTATAGTTTTGATATTTTGGGAAATACTGCTTTCTATCTGAGAGTTAGATGATAAGATCAATACCACCCTCATATCTGTCTGTTAAACATAGCTACAGCCAGCAGCCAGTTAAGCACGAAGACTGGAAATGGGGTAAACAGCTGAGTTGGCTTGGCTCTGTCCAAGTGTAACAAAATCCACCTAAAAGTAGTGTGAGTGTAGTGTAGTGTAGTGTAAGGTGTGAAGTCTGAGAAGCTCACTAAAAAAAAGCTTAAAAACTGGTTTTACAGTGGGTTTGTCATTACTATTGTCCGCCATAATCCCCCTGAAACCGCAACTTGTTGTATGAATTAAACCAACGAGTAAAAGAATACAAGAACAAAAACATAAGTGAGCTTAAGAGGTGCTGATAGCTAGATTTATTTAGCTGATAGCTAACTGGCCACTAGCGGTAGTGCCATTTTTCTACTATAAGAGTGGAACTCTCAGCAAGAAGACTAGTAAACATATATTTGAAGTCCAGAAGAGATATTGTATTGTATTTATTCATTTCATTGTATTTGCTGCTTACCTTTCCCCAACTTCAATCTGACAACTTTAAGGAGAGATTCACCCTCACCACCTCTGTGAGCGCTGTACATCCTCAGGATGTCACCTCCTGAATAATAATAAGAAAAACATTGTCTCTGTCAGCGCACACAAAGCTGACTGTAAACTTTTGTTATTCATTTCTCACCCAGAAAGCACTTCAAACAATGTCATTAAAAGAATAAATAGACCATGCTTATTAGAACAGATAAGAACAGATGTGCCTTCATTATATGCAACCTACTTAGCATTCTGTTGGATTCAAATCTGCCTTCCAATTAGTGTTACAGGCTGGACCCTGATGATACCTGATGCTGCCATAAAGCTGTTAACCTTTCTTCTTGTTTTCCTGCAGCTGCAAAAGCAGAAGAAACTAAGGAGGTGACAACAGTCTCTGGGAAAGTGGATGGCGATAAAGGAGAAAAGAAGACCAAGGAGGGCAAGAAAGAGGGCAAGGGTGCCAAAGAAGGGAAAGGAGATGAAAAGGATGCACCAACAAAGAAGAAGGGTGAAAAGGGTGAAAAGGAAGCATCCAAGAAAGAAGGTGGTGAAGGGAAAGGGAAGAAATCTGGAGAGAAGGGAGACAGAGGGGAAAAGGGAGAAAAAGGAGGCAAAGGAGGGGCTAAAGGGGGAGCTAAGAAAGCTCAAAAGTGAACCCTGACTTCTATGGACAAACACTGCAAAAGATCATTTCATATTTTCACTGCAAGCATTTCATGCACTTTTTTCTAAAACTGAATTTGTATCATATTATATTTAAAATAAACAAATCTTATAAGAAAATGCACAATTTGTCTCTTTCAGAATCATGAAAGTTGCAACAATATCAGAGTACAGAAAAATTAAACATTTATTGTCTTATTCACAATTCACTGATGAACATTAGAGACCAGAAAACATCATCCTATTTAATTCCAAGTTTACATTGATATCTACAACGTGCCTATCAGTAATGAGAAGCTGAGACGTGTTGGCAAACACTGCCCACATACTGTATCTAAAGCATGAAGACCAATGTTGAATCCACTGAGTACACTTCGGCACGAGATAAATAAAAGACAATGAAACACATTTTATACTTCCATGAGAGGTATTTGAAAACAATGAAATACAACATTAGCTCTATTAATATTGGCCTTACTGTACACTTGATTCCAAAACACAATCATTTTACATGATACAATCTGAACAAAATACTGTATTATAGCATATTAAAGTGCTCAAATATAATTTCCCAAGTGTCTTTTTTTCTTTCTTTTTTTTGTAAAAGATTTTCATGCTCTGATACCAGCTCGTCTTTTTAATGAAAAACTGTCTGGATTACACAACAGTAACATAATGTTTACCTGCCCAGTGGCAATTAGTGGAAAGCCAGATTGAATATGAAGAACAACTACCTCAGTTAACTGCATTTTTTAAAAATATTGTACACCTGTACTCCTTATGGGCTAAGAACTCAGAATACAGTTTCCAGAGAATGGTGAACAATGCAACAAATACCAGCTAAAAGAAGCCAGTAAAATATGAAAAGTTATTTAGTGACAGTATTATCAAGTGACAAGGGCTTCTCTCAACCTCAGTCTTTTTTTCTTTTTCCATGCCTGTGGCCTGCTGGCAGCCACCTGTTATTAGTGTAGCAGTCAAACTACTCAACCTTGAGTCCCAATAATGACTGATCCCCATGGAAAAATACACCTTCTTGATGGCCAAAAAGCACTTCGCAGAATTCCACCGTTAATTGTTCAAAATACACAGGCGTCTGATTTGGAATTTTGGCTCAAATGACTGCTGTGGATATTTCTAAAATTATTGCAAGATTGGAATTATTCTATATTTGTCTTATTGCCAAGAAATTACACGAAAAGACAATAAACATGTTAGTCCATCTGTCAGTAGTTTCCTATTATGTCTTTATCTCTTGTCCAAAAACCCATATTTACCCATTTCCAAATATTTAAAAACGAGTCACAGATATTTAGTTTGATTTTTTTTTTTTTAAAGGCTACATCATTTCCAAAAACAGCAGGGTACAGCTTTTAGCAAATGTTACTCAAACATGAGTAAATAGCGCATTTGTTGGGAACTATTTTCAGCTGCGGATTTGGTGTGCTAGTGAGTATTTATGCACCAAGGACGGTATTTGCAGCATCGACTCAAAATAAACAGTGAACCCACGTTCACAATGGTGGAAACCTCGCAATGAAGAATAATGTCACCCTGTGTAAGAGTGCGTCTTCTTATTGGGTTTTTAATTTAAGCTGTATCAGGCAATATACTGTAAGTCAGTTCACTGTTTATTGGTTTTGGTCGATTTTGGAAAATTATAGAGTAGTATCACTGTACCAGACTTTTGTATCAGATGGTTTGTAAAGTTTGGTTTAGTTAAAGTTTTATTTCATTCTAAAGTAATTTGAGGCAAAAGCATGAATTAACTTTAGTATTATCAACTCTTTCAGATGTAGTATAAATCTACTGGATGAATGAGGCAGTACAAACTGGAACAGACCAGGCTTTAACCTTTCAAAACTGAGTCAAAGCACACACCTCAATGGATCTAGCATCAGGTGGAGCAAAACGGAGAATCAGGGAATTGGGATAATAATTCAGTCAGTGTGAAGTCACCAAAAGAACACAACAACAAGAGGGACAAGAGAGCTTGCTGTCAAATGCTGGTCACTGCTATATGATGTAAAAAAAAGAAAAAAAAAAGAAAGGGATAACACATGCTTACAAGAGCAAATATTAGCTTTGGTCACATATTAGCTGAAATTAATGTGAGGTAAAATTCCATTTCGCTAAATCTGATATAAATCACAACTCCAGCACACATACAGTATTAGTCCAAACCAAATATAGACTAATTTAGCTCTGGAGACTAGGTGAAGTCAAAAATCAGAGTGGAGGATTAAGAGCAACAAAGCTGTGTTTAATATTAATGGTCTCAGTTCATTGTTACTTAGCTACTGAGTGTTGTGAATGGTTTTCTCATTTGCTTCACTGCTGTTTACATGAACTGAGTATTTATAAAGAAACATCAATCTGTGTGGGTGCTCTATTTCAACACTTTTATCTTGACGTTTTTCTACACTAACTACCAGTAGCAAATGCTGCTTTTGGAGGGTGATTTTACTGCAACTTTAAGACTTTTTGGTCACTGTAAACAAGATGGTGGATGAAAATACAAAGAAATGCTGCAAAATAAAAATTTTCTCTGGCAGCATATCATGCCTTTTCTCTTTGGTATAATATGATGTGACTTAACCTGCAAACCATGCAGGTTAAGTGTGGTAAATTACAAGTTACAGAGTTTAAAATATATTGCGGAATGCTTTGTTAAATGGTATTTTGAATGCCCTCTGTCACCTGTAAATATATTCACCAGTTTTGTTTTGGACTAAATACATAATCAAATATTGCAAACATTCTGTAAACAAACACATGAAAAAAATATATATACATTAAAACATAGCTTTATAACATATTCATACACATGACCACTATTAGCTCACAATTAGAATGTACTTCTGATTTTTGTAAACATTGTGACTTGTATATATACATCAAAAAGCAGCATAACACTGGACCGTCTGTAAAAATTATTAATTTCTGGGGTTTCCTTCATATCCACCACAAATGTCGCGCTTGGAATTCCAGTGGAATTTGAGATTTTCTTGGATTTCTCATTTAATTAACATTCCACTGGAATATATGGCCGTTTCCTGCACCTTGTGTTTTTAAATGGGGTCTCTTGGTCTGAAAAATGTGTGAGAACATATGATACCGTTTTTGTCAGATTTCCATAAAGTTCTTCTTTACCTCAGCTGATGCTGAACCCAAAGGGAGAGACAGTCTTCAAAGAAATATTCTTACTTTAGCATCATGTTTTGTGTGTGTGTGGGTGTGTGTGTGTTAGGGTATTTTTGGAGAAAATTTGAATATGAAACATTCATTTGAACTCTTCGATGTCTGTTGTAATTAGAGAGATGAATATTGGGGTTTTGTAAACAGCAGAAACTATATAACATTTTGAAAAGAAATGATTTAACACAGCCTTATATAACATACCATACCCTCAGAGAAATGCTGACCATGCTAAAACCCCACTTTAAAGGTATAAAAATAGGTGTGCAATAACAGAGGACTTCAATTACCTGAGTACCTTCCCTTTTACACTGAAGTGGACAAAACAAATGAGATATCATGCTGGAAAGCATGAACAGATGCCTCAAAATAGTAGCATTAATAGTTTTTTAAGCTGAGCCTACGCTTCGTCTACTCACACTGACTTAATCTGAAAACTCAAAATCCACCTGGCTTTACATCGGTGATTAAGGCTGTTCCTGGCAACTACTGTAACTAACCCCAGTTTGATTTATGCACGAAAGCTGAAAGACATTTGCTAAAAAAAAAAAGCAATCAGAAAACAAGACAACAACAGTTATGGCAGTGGAAAAGAAATAAGAAACGACAGTCTGTTTTCATCCTTTTACACATTCACTGTGGCAGGTGGTTGGTGAAAGAGTTGAGAGTATTTGCCACAACAATCAGAGTCATCATCCCTCAGATAAAGGCGGCCCAGCTCACGTAAGTGATACACCCTTTTTGCCTTGAGCCTCATCAGTCGGCAATGTTCTGGCTCAATTCACAGGAGAAAAAACTGGCAGTGTTGATGCATGCAGCCATCCCCTTCAGACCATCCTGAGACTGTTTCATGATTTGTTCCCCCCCTCCCCCTCCCATCGTTCTTCATCCCTATACACAGCAGTCCTGAAGGTCACATGACTGTCTCCCTCTCCTCCTCCACCACAGGTGAGGGTTTCTCGTCCTCACAGGGCCGTGTGTGGGCAGAATGCTCCTCGTCGGGAATGTGAAGCTCCTGTCCCGATGAAGGTATAGAGTTCTCAGAGACAGAGCCGTTCTTCACATACCCAGGGAGGTTCCGGTGCCCGTTCACAGGTACCGGCCCCAGCCTTGTGGTGAGGTGGAGGGCCAGCGGTCCTCTGGCAGTGACGTTGGTAACACTGGTGTGTGACACCATAGGTCCATAGCTGTAAGTGTTACTGCCACTCCGAGCTTTTCTTTTGAAGTCCAGGGCCAGAGTCCTCCTGCTCCAGGACTTTTTGATCTCAGCTTGCACCTTAGAAGACAAGAAGGTATTTAGCCATATAAGAGCTTAAATACTGCGCAGGAGTTTTTGATGTGAAATGCAAAACAAGTTCTTACCTCTCCATTGCAAAAGCAGTATATAATTGCCACTAAGAATCCCTAAGAAAAGATCAGAGAATGGTTTTTACTCACATCATCCATGAATTTCCAGGCCAGCTATCTTTAATGTGCACCCAACATAACATTTTAGCTGTATAATTTCATATTTAGTATGATATTTTCAATCATCAGCAATGCCTCTCTTTTTCTTTATCTTAATTAAGATCAGACCACAACCAAATATCTCATCAATAAGCAACTATTGGACACTGATCCCTTCCAGTGTTTTCCTGAGATGTTGGCAGTGTTTTTGGTGATAAAGACATGTTAACCCTGAGGACTTGTAAAAAAACCTGATAAGGCCAATCAGATTTGTTCAACTTGAAAGGGTACATTAATATTTATTAGGACCTTGAGAGCTAAATTAGCATTTCTGGCATTTCTACCATAGCAGCTTTACCTGGAAGGAGTTGAACAGCATTTCATAGTGCATCTGGATCAGCCAGGGAACTCCAGACACCTCTGTATATGGCATGGCATTAAATATGATGTAGTGGACACCAAAGAGTGGCATCAGCACCAACGTGGACTTCAACAGTTTTCTGTAGAGGAAGAAACATTTACAACATTTTAACCAACATTGCAAAACATTGTCTGTTTTCAGCTTCTCAAATGTAAGGATTTTCTGCTTGTTTTCTGTTTAAATCATTCTAAATTGAATCTCCAAATATGTCTTTTTTAAGAATCGTTCAGCATCTACCAAGTTTTTATTGACTAAACAATCTATTCAACTAATAATATCTGACTAATAATTGGTTATTATATAATCATCATTAGTTGCAGCCTTACTTTGTAAATACATTGTTCTCTTCCATTTATAATCCCCATTTCAGAACCGGTCTCATGATGCAAATGCAATCAGAATAAATGCATTCATGGTTTTATCACGCTGGCAGTGATGCAGGTGACAAGTACTTCATATAAGGAATCAATCAAGATGTAAGCTGTTCTTGTGGGGTTCAGAAATAAAACAAATAATTTTGCACAATGCTAGTATAGTACCTGTACTGTTGTCTTGTGTCACACCTTCCAGCATTTGTTTCTCGTAGCTTAGTTGCCAAGACTCTGATGATGTTCAGAAATAACATAAAATTAACCTGAAGAGGAAATAGAAACATAATGATATAATTAAGTGTCATTGCAAACATAATCAGATGTCTCATCCTAGAGCTGCAGTGCCACAGGTGCAGTGAAACATTGTCCTTTCCTACGCAGCAGGAGAAAAGTCCAAGCAGGGAGCATGTACTCACCACTACAGCTGCGAGGATAGGCACTTGATATATCCATTTCAAATTGCCTGCACTTAAGTCCCAACACCTGCAGAAGATAAACAACAACAAAACGGATCAGCAAGAGATAAGTAAGGATTAAGGTGTGATGATCCAGGATCCCTCTGCACTGTGGTGTCTCTGATGATCACTGCCATCATTTCACAGAATGAAAGGATTTAGATAGAAATTGACTTTACCCCCAGCTCTTTCTACCCCAACCTCAGTTCTAGACACAAATATCACATGAAACCCCTCAGAAATAAAATTAAATTTGTCAAAATAAATATCTAATGATGTTTCCAGCCATAATTTCTCATGGATTGATTCATTACTCCTGGGCTTCATATAAAGCCCCCTTCATGTTCAATGGCTTTTGCAGTTCTGACAAGACTTTTTTATTTTTGCGCCAAGACATTGTAACAAAATCTGTGCCTTTTTAAAGTTGGTTTCAAAACAGTTCTCTTGGCCTAAATTGTCACATGTCTTTAACGAATGTTATAGCTATCAACAAGGACACTGAGGTCATGTATGTATGTTTTTTCTTCTTTTATTTTTGTGGTATTTGGCAACAAGAATAATTGATCTGTGGAAAAATCATTGATAGTGGGTTGATAATAACCAGAGTGGCATCTTTTGTAGATAGATAGATTTTATTATTACTCACTAATGCAATGTAAGTACATTGCTGAATGTACAAGCCAAGTTTTAGTTATTATAATGTTTGGTTTGTTTTCCTGCCCATAGAAATGCCTAGAAGGGTTGCAGAAATGTTGTGCTGCTATCCTGCTGAAGGGAAATATATGGTTTTGTTCCACTGGACAGCTGCTGGATACCAGCTTAGCCATAATCTCTCAGCTCCAGAATCTTCAATGTCCAACCATGGTACAGGACCAATGTGGAGACTGCAGATAGTGCCTGTAACAGGAGGTTTAGGGCTCCTCTTGAGGCAGTTTTCTCCCTGACGAGTTCAGTCCATTCAGAAGATGAAGGTGAATCTACTTGAAATCTTTTTAGATTTCAAGCCTTTCTTTACTACAGAAATTTATAGCATTTATGGTAATCATTAATTGTGAAGAATATCAATATGTTTACACTTATCTTTGAATTTTTATCTTTGAAAAATTCTTTGAAACTTGAATCTGTATGAAATGCTGTTGTGTATACATGCATATATGTTGAAGGAGACTTGCTTCTTCAGATGAGCAACTGTTTGCATCTGCCTTTGCTGCCTCACATAACTCCTGACCTTAATATTTCTGTATTAAAGCTTAACAAAAATATAATATTATGTATATTATTTATGCAGATCACTTACTCTGTGTCGGCAAACGTGGCTCTCACACTTGCCCAAACTGTCACAAACATAGCTGGCACACCTGAAAAATAAAAATAAAAATAAAAATAAAGTAAAATAGGAGAAAACCTATAAATAGGTACATAAGGAGTCCATAATTTGCTCATATGGGTAGAACCTGGGTAGCACAGCATCCACATTGTATGCGCTGTGCTTACATAACTTATACGCACAGTGTGTACAATGCAGGAACTGTAAAGCCCATATTCATGTAGTATTTTGATGCAGACACGAGTCATTTTCCATTGTCCTCACCTATTATTAGTATTAATACAATATCAGCAAGGGATCTGACAGAAGTCCCCTTTCTTTTACAAACGTATTTGCATGCTAATTAGACAATCAAAAATTAAATACCTTACATACAATTTAATTTGCACAGTATCAAGTCCACAAATCATATTGTAATCACGTGCATGTAAGTAGAATGTAAATGAAGCAGAACTCACCCCATCCAATCAGAGTAAATCCCCACAGATACTTCCTGTCCGAAAAGAAGGTCATAAAGATGAGGCTGTGGAGGTACAGACCCTCCACAAGGATCCAGTAGTAATTGGTCGCCAAGAAGTACATGAACAAGGTCACAACCACCTTGCAGCCAATCTATACACAAACAACAAGAAGGAGATTAGATTCAATTAATGCCCACATTCACAAAAAAGTCACACTCTTCTATTACTTGTTAAAATATGTTATTTTCTCCATCTCTCATTTGTCCTCTCATAATGCGCCAGTAGCTCCACAATGAAGGCAGTATGAATCGTGTAGGGGCATAGGGGTGCTCACACTTCAGCTACAGGTGATATTTGAACAAACTATCTAGATTTGATCACTTTCCACTTTTGTCAGTGATTGATTTGGATGTAGTTTGCAGGTAGTGCAGTTGTTGGGTACACAGTTCAATGGAGCCAAGCAAAACTCAAAAGTGCCCAACACCAAACACACCCTTGAAAACACCATAACATTTACACTGCAGTCACACATCATTAAATAGAGAAGAAAAAGGTTTGGGAGCGGAATATGTATTCAGTAATCTGTACTTGAATATTACACTGCAGATTACTGAATACATCCTTGACGTAACCTGAAATAAAACACAGTCCATTAAGTCAGACAGCTGTGGCTGATTTAAATTGCTGCTCTTAGAGACATCAAGAAAGTTTAAGAAAGTGGAACATGTCCCTCCAGTTTTTAGATCTTTACACTGACTTCCTGCATGTCAATGAATTGATTTTAAAATTGGTTTAAAAAGCACTGAATGGTTTTGGGCCAAAATACATTTCTAACCTGCTACTACTTTATGAACCATTACACCTCTCAGTTCACCAGGGACAGGTTTGCTTGCTTATCCCCAAAGTCAAAACTAAACACTGGAACAAACTCCCAGAAAACCTGAGAAAACTGCAGAAAACTCAAGGTATGTTCCAACTCTCAGTTCTTTTAAATCAAGGCTTAAAACTTAAATTTGGCACCATTCAGCATCGCCTTGTTTCTCCAGCTTTTCTTAATACCTTTTATGTGCTATGAAGCATTTTGAATTGCCTTGTTGTTGAAAGGGGTTGCCTTATATAACTTAAGTCAGTAATGTTATCTAATTACTTTAATTACTTTTAAACAACTGACCTTGATGATGGATAATTCTGCAAAACCCCAAATAAGTTTCAGTGCCAGTGTTGTTAGCCTCACAATCAAGATAGCAATGTCACTCTGTCTGTGTGTTGGTCTGCCACTTTTCCAGACTAAAATGTCTTAACTATTTAATGGATTGGCCATAAAACACAGACATTCATGGTCCCCGGAGGACTTTCGTGATTCTTTGACTTTTACTACACCACCGGAAGGTCAAAGTTTTCACTTAATCAGTGAAATAGCTTGACATCTACTTGATGGCCAACTTGTACAAACATTCATCGTCCCCAGAGGACTTTGGTGATCCACTGACTTTTCCACGACTCCAACAATAGCGGGTCAAAGTTTTCACTTAATCAGTCAAAAAACAACTCAAATTTGTGCATAATTGCTTTGCTTTACGACCAAATACCTGCAAAATCACTCTCCTCAACCTCATTTGCCTTTATTGCAAAATGTTAACATGCTAATAGGCTTAACTAGGATGGTAAACAGCTAATATTATGTTATATTATTGACTGCCAAATGTTAGCGTATTAGCATTGCTATAGTGAGAATGTTAGCATGCTCAAAATGCCAGTGAGCTTAGTTTATTACACTATTGGATGGTGCGAATGACCAGATGCTGGTTTCAGGCAATAACTGAAGAGGATCTGTAGGAACTACCTTGGAGGCTAAACTGAGATCCACAAATACCCTACACCTGGTTGTGACGAGTCCTTTAAAGGGCTGCCCGTTTTGATGTATCAATTCACGTCTATCACCTTAGTAGTTCACCACTGAAAACACAGCAGCACACTGAGATGGGGCCGACCTGGTGAAGATGGCATACTGCATACTCAGGGTGACATTTTGACTTTAAAGTCAGAATGTATTTAATCCTATTGGCAAAACTTGTGTCACACAAGTATTTGTTGCTAGCTGAGAAGGTTGAGGTTCAAAAACTAAAACAAGGGAAAGTCAGCATTTATTGTTCTAAAACAGGACACCAACCTTTGCAGGGTGAATGCTTTACACAGCCATTTTACCATTACCTTTACCTCATTATGCTTCCCTTTCACCATGCTACATAAGCAACACACTATACTTCCTTTATTGGCACTGAATAGTTGTGTGGATGTATTGGATGGATTATGTACTGCAGAATCATCCAATATCAACGCAAATCCTAGGGATAGTGGGCTGCATTTAAAATACTTTGTTTTTAATAAATGTAAAGGCTATGACATTTAAAGGTTATATATACAAGATTTACAACATAAATATAGCAGCAAACAACTGTTTGCTATGTAAATATTGCCGACTAATGGCAGCCAGAAGAGAGACAAAGCTTTTGAGGAGATAGATTGATGATAGATGTCAGTGAATTAAGGATTAACAAAGACCTTTTCAGTGAGTGACAGAAACTTTTGGTGAGTTTGTCTGTTTTGAATAAAGTTACAATGTTACAATGATCTGCGAGTTATAAATGACCATTTTTGTCAAGGGAGTCTGGTGGCGAGCGATAGCGTTATAACAGCTGTTTCTGGTTAACAAAAGGGATCGTACTCTTTAACAAAAAGGTCAATCTCTGTAGGGATCCTTTTCATAGTGTTGTTAGAAAATTAGAATAATGACCTGAGCCTGTCAGTGGCAAAATACTTTCAGTGGCCGCATTTTCCCCAAGGATTAGCTATGTTGCCGCTATTGCAGCCTATACCAATATTTTCACATCTAACTCTGTGAATTAAGGGTTTATTTCAACCAAACCAGTGTTAGTGATTGACAAAAAGACTGTGGAACAATTTCAAAGGCGGTTTTATTTTGTTTTTGTCCAGTTCGAAGTGTGTTATATATGATTATCTGCAAGGTAAAATTATTGGTTTTGTCAGTGGAGTCTGGTGGGCCATAAAGCCCATTTGTTTTAATCTGAGATGCTGGTGCTCTAGTGCAGCATCTAGTGGCAAGTGAAATTCGTATATATATATTACCTTTAAGAGAACAAAGGTAGCACTTAGGTTATATTTACATTTTATTTATTTTACATTCAAATGCATTTAGAGCAGATGTACCACACATGAAGCAAGGATATACAGTGAATAGACATCAAGCATTTCCTTTGAAAAGGGAAGGCATTTTTCTTGGCTCTCCTGACAGTCTAATCTTAAAGCATGTGTTAAAATCAGCCAACAGTATACTCCCCCTAAAATCCATGCATTTTAAAATGGTATTTGTGCTTGTGTTATTCTCAGCCTGTTATTTCTCTCTGACGGAGTGTCTTGATTCATTATCTACACTTCTGGCAGCCCAAGCTTTATTCTGAGCTTATTGTTTGAAAGTACTATCACTTTAATTGTGAAATTCAAAGTAATTGAACATTCCTAATGTATAATATTAAAACTATGAGAGTAATCGCAGAGTAACATATGGGTAACAAGTCTTCACAAGAGTTTTTAGCTGTCAGAGATCTTGACACCCACAAGAAGGAAAACAAATTGGACTAAATGATGTGGATATTTTGTTCCAGCTTACTGGCTGGGTTTATTTTTAAAAGTGATAAGACATGAATGCATCTTCTGATGACAAAAACCCTTTACATGCTAACAATGTCATGATTGCTGAAGGACCAGTGTGAAGGATTTAGTAGCATCTGACAGCATCTACAGCTCAGACCCGGTCCTGGTAAAAAACAACTCATTCTATGGTAATGAAAACACAATGATATACTAATGAAAATATTATATTTCATTACATTCTGCCAAAAGATCCTCCTAAATGTTACACACTGGACCTTTAAGACAATAAATATGACCACCACAATACAAAGTGAACTCAGGAATCAGGGTTATTGGAAAACCAGAGGAGTCACAGCAGCAAGCTGCAGCTTTTGTGTTAAAGTTACATGTTTTAATAGCTTTTTGGACCATGTGAATTTCCCCTGGGGCCCGCTGGCTGTCATTGGTGCAACAGTGAAAATCCGATTGGGGGCATCACACAAATTATTGTTTGTTTTAATTAAATATAAATAAATGAATGAATTAATTAATTAATGTCCCAGCTCAAAATGAGTATCCTAGGATTTTAATATAGCCTACAATATTGAAAGTGACATTTATCATATTATAGATTATTGTTGTTTGGACAGAGGTTAATAGAAATCCAGATCGTATTATGTGCTGTTTGTATTGACAGGATGTGTGGTAGTCTGAGGAGTCCATACTGATTTAGTCAGACATCGATTCAGTCAATCTCCACACTGCTATCCACCTTCAGCTGTTGCCGTTGTATTGTCATGCCATGATTATTAGAAGCTAATCCTTCTCAGCACTCCTTTTTCTCCGTACTGATTATCAGGCTTATAATTGTCATCTCTATATTTTCTCATCAGTTTGTATTCTAACAAGCATTGTTGAGTTTTGCCATGGGGCTGCATTTTAATTAGAGTTTTACACCTTTAATGGAGACACGCGTCTGTGATTTAAATGTTTTTTTAAATGAACATTATCTTCTTTTAATTTAAGAGCAAAATGTATTTAAAAAGCTGCTGATTACTGAATTATTGCAAGTGAAGCTTTGTTGCAAACCCAGTGCTGTGTAAATTCCCAGAATGAACCCACAGCAATAAATAAATACATAGAAGATGGATGCGGAGGAATCCGACAGATAGACCAAATTATAATGAATATACAGTTTCAGTCAGTAAATTAAATGAAATGTAAAAATTAAAGGTGAATAATAAACACCTAATTTTATTACCAAACACTGTCTAATCTCTGAAATAGCTTGGTTATTTAAGGTTATTCATTTCAGGTTAAATTAGATTAAGATTAGGATAATTAAGATTAAATGTATTTAATTAAGATAAAGCATTTAGGATAAAGCCCAATGTTTTTTGAAAAAGGACCAATTTCCATTTTCATTAGGGCGCCACAGTATTTGCTACACACACTAGTATACATTACGAGCACAAACATCTATGATCCTTCATTGTGTCACAAGTCACCTACTTTAACGAAGCAGCTTTAATCTAGTATAACTCAATTTGGAGAGCCCCTGGATAAAAGTGTCCACTAAATATATTGCGCAAATTGTTTGTTTGCATATTAAAACATGCATGAAAAGTACCCAGTCTTTACCCATTTTTTAAACTTGACTCTGAAAGGGAAAGCCAAGTACTGGCCTAGTAAAAGCTTGGCATGTTGACAAAAAGTACAGTTTATTTGCTCCAGCACTGGAAAAGCAGGTGAGACTTTGCAAAATACCACTTCCTCTTTGGAAGCAAAATGTTTAACGCCCAACTACAGTACAGTCAAATTATCTGCGAATGAAATGCAATCAAACAAGGATTATTTCTATTATGATTTTGTTTGGAGAAAAACAGTGTGTATTAATCGTATCATAAATACTGTACATTACGAGTACTACATGTGTATTTTCCTTGTTAAAGCTTATATATTAAAATAATCTCTTTAAGAAGTTCAGTGAGTGTTTTTCATTCTCTTTGTATATCTTTAAAGACAGTGCTTATGTTGAGCCCATCTATAGGTGTGTTTTGGCTGTGTTAGTGTACTTACAAACTGTGTTTTGTTGGCTGGCGGAGCTTCGGTGATGGACTTGAGGTCTTCCACTGTGACTCTTTCCATGTTCTCTAAGGCCGATCCAGAGTAGAGCACAACATCTTTCACAAAAATACTTATTGCTCTAAGCATGTAGGACACAAATAGGTGCATGTGGATGTAGTTCCTGGTGCAGTGTAATCGTCTAGGGAGAAAACAAACAAGAACAAGTCAAAAGATAGATCTCTTGAAAATAGTAAGTAAAGTAAGTAATTGTGGGCTGACACACCTTCATGTAAGTGTGTGTAAGTATTTTAACACACACACGAACAATACTCATCCTAATTAGAGCCAGCTGAGTTCCACGCTGACTATAACACATTCTTGAGATTTAGGGGCTTGAAACGAACAAATATTGAATTGCTCGGCTCAAAGTGAGCTGTAAAAACAAAATTGCAAGCATGTGTTGAGAAAAGCATGCAAATTTCCTTCCAGACAAGCACAAGTTTATCTGTCAAAATTTCTTCCAAAACATCCTGTCTGAGCGTTCACTGTGGAGTGGGCCTTTGAGGTTATGCTCCACTATCAATCAGGCTGCTGGATCAATGGCCATAAAGATAACGTCACTTGTCAATTAAAAAAAATAAGTCAATCACAATATTTACTGAATATTCATTAGTGTTTTTATGAAATTCCAAAAACCAGCTTGACCTAAAATATAATATATATATATATATATATATTATATATACAAAAGTCTATTATTTCTCTAAGACCTCATTAGTGAGCTGAATGTTGGACAAACTACCCTTAAAGAACTATTGATTTAGAAGTGGTGGGCAAAAACTAATCTAGCGTACATTTCCCTGGTGAAAAATACTGAACACGACTGCTAATGTGAAATATCCCTTTTCTCTCCCTGGAAAACATTTATGAGCTCTCCTGTCTACAAGCTGACATGTTGAAGGGGAGACATGGCTGGAGTGCTCCGGAGCACGGAGCCAGAATGTCAGATGGGCCCCTGGGATAACTTATTAAACTCATTTGGCCCATAGATTTCCTGGTGCCAGTTGGGACCGTTCCTAAAGCCTTCTGACTGCCTGCCTGTATGGTAAGTCACGCTGGTGGGAACATTGGTAAACAGCGCCTTCACATCGATTCCTGATACTCCCTATGTTAAACAAAATAAGCAAATAATGACAAATATGCCTTGCATTAATTAGCCGTGAAAAAATAATCTGGCTTTTGCTGCACAAAAAATGAATTCAACTTTGTTTTAGGGTTTTCTTCACTGCATGGTTGCCAATAAGGCAAGAGGGGCAAGATAAGCCTCATGTATACAGCATTTGTGGCAAATAATTTTACATTCATACATTAGCAGAAGTAAAGCTGTTCAAATACAATTACTGAGTGCTTTACTCTTAATTGTTCTTTTATGAACTTTCTTTACCTTCTTTTCAGGGGGGAAAAAAAGGACACACTTAACACTCTAATGCTTAATAACAGTAATCTTTGTAAGCTCAGTGGAATTACAAAATCAATATCCAAGCTTTGGCTGTTTGTCATCGAAACCTGAAATCAGCATGAAAATAACAAAGAGCCTAAATGTCAGACAATGGAGCATGCATTACTTCAAGCCTGGAGGCAGACTCCTCAAAGGTAGACATATCATAGCCTGTTAAAAGTCAAAGTAAAAGTCAAAGGTAATGTTTGATACAGTTTGCATGCTTCATGTTGTTGCCGTGACAGAAAATAAACTGCATTGCATGCCTGTGCAGCTATGGCAAATTGCATAATTTCACAATAAAGCCTCTTTTTTCGATTAGGTCATCATGAAATGAATATGCGCTCTGCTTCACTTTATGTTTGCATTGGAAAAATGGCATCGTAAGAAATTGTGTCACCATGCCATTAAAAATTTAGAGTCCCTGTTTTGATCCTTTCTGTCATTGCTCTAACCTTAATTTCTGACCCTGTCTCTAAATCCCTCTTTTGGGAGTGTCTGTGGTTGAAAGGACTGATTGGAAAGATTCTGTTGACACCATCAACTCACCGGAAATATCCCAAGATGACGACAGCCACCATGAGTGATCCAAGAGAGATGGAGTACCCCACTGTGTAGATGAGATACAGACGGTGAAAGACCTCCTGTTGGAAGACAATCATTTGTTAGAATGTTAAAAGGGCAGCAAAATTGATGAGAACACAAAGACTCAAATGATTACTTTGCTGTTGTGCTAGATGTACTGCATGTATTTCTGTGTAAAAAAATAAACACATCTCTAATTATCTTCTCTTTTTAGCTACCATGATAGGAAAAATATATATTTTTTAAATTAACCTCCATTGATTTGTGTTTAGATAAACAATTGTAGTAACAATAGCATTAGTAAGCAGGACAGGTGGACTGTAAAACATGTTCTTGTACGTAACTACGAATAAATCACAAATACCTGTAATTGTTAAAAAACATATATAATTCTATATTCTATCTATAATTCTTTATATTATCTGTAGGTACACTTTACTTTTTTATTTTCAAAAAATCCTAATGCATATAGCAGTTTGGCAATTTAAGGCTACATTATTGATTTAACAGCCTGCAAAAAAAAATATTTGAAAGCATCTCTGCTGATCTAATTGTATTCACACATTTATATAAAGAAATCAAATCATCAATTTAGATAGCAGTGAGGACCAAACTTTAGAAAAACACATACTTTTTATTTAGTTTTACTGTTCCAGAATGCCTAAATTTGTATGCTTGTGTACAATAGATAAGGTGCAGGAGGTTTCAGCTACCCTAATGAAAAGACAACATTCAGTCAGTGAACACATGGTCATCATCTTTTACAATAAATAAAAATAATATTTATCATAAACTTGTAAAATCACATGCAGGTTTTTATTCAGTTAATTTTGGTGTACATTTTTTTGTTAGATGTTACAAGACTTGGTTTAACACACTTATGCTTCAGGGTTGTTCTTTGTGCTTAGTAACATTACAACAAGTTAAAATTTGAGTGACCAGATAACTTCAGGAAATTAATTTATTAGAAAGAACATGTTTTCACCATGGGCAAAGTAAATGTACAGATAAAGAGGAATGTTCTTTTCATTCACAATATATTGGCATTTTACCCCATAAAACGTAGCTTCAAGGTGTGTTAACTTGTGTTTGAACATGTATTGCCACTTGGTGACAGAAATGTCTTAAGCACCCAGAAATTACTGATGGAAACAGCATTTGACATGGGTGGCAGAGCTGAGAAAGGCTGGGTGGGGCAGTCTGATCTTCCAGCAGTGAGTTGGCAGCCAGAGGACACTGTAAGGAGAGCCACTAACCAGACCCACTGTGCGTCAACATGCTGAAGGGGCCAAGAGCTCCGTGTGATGTAACCAGATACTCCACTGCTGTTATCATTTAGCATCAGGATCCTGTGCCAAAAAATGGTTGTCTTAAGTGGTATGGCAGTTGTGCTGTGTGGGGCTTTCAGTCGTGCATATGTATTTGTCATTAACTGCTGCAACCACTCCCTCTGGAGTCCATCAACACAAACATCTGAAGTCAGAAAGAAACTGAAGGGCACCATGATATACATCCACTAGACCACATTCAAGCAGGGGAGAGGAAAATGTATGCGGCACAGCTGATGCTTGTATCATTTCATAGCAAAAATTAGTAAAAATCAAACTATGATAGCCTTCTGCCAAACGTCCTGAGGGATCTTTGAATGATTTTATCAATGAGTGACTGATTACTCTATGAACCTCTATTCATTCCTTATTCATCCAATAATTTTTGTAACCACTAGCAACACTACAAACTACAGAGCCCCTTAACACTAAACTCAAATATAATAATACACATGATTCATTTAAAGGCTATAAATAATATTTTATATGTAAGACTATTCAAATGCTTCCGGGCCATAAGCCATGTCAGCATCATTATTGTGAATAATGCAATTTTATGTGTTCATATACGCACAATAATAGCTGAGTAAGTGTTATTTTTCCATTTATTGCCAGATTATGGCTGTTTTCCACCCTTCTTACAATACCCAGTAGTCCTATTCACTGCAAGTGTTATGTTCTGACATCTGTACCTCACACAAGATAGAGAGAGAATCACTACAACTGTAATAAAGGACACATCTACCTTTGTCAGTCATATGGGGTATTGATGTAGTAAAAGGCTGCCGAGTTAGTTTTACAAAACAATTTTCTCAACATGTGCTGTGGTGTGATGGTGATGTCAGTGTTTATGGTATTTATGACTCCAGGTTTGACTCTTACATGCTGATAATGTTTAGATTTTGTGTTACATATGGCTAAGTTTAATTATATTGTTTATTTAATATAAATTATTAGAAATTTGTGGTTTAAGAGAAAACTAAAATAACTATCCCGGTTGTATGCCTCTGCCAGCCAGTCAAGTTGCACTTTCCTTCCATGTCTTTCCAGACTCATATATAGTCAATATATATAGAGAATACTTATTATATAAATTATATAAAATGTATAAAGTGCATTTTTTTTTTGGCTAAATTGAAGTTATCACTATATTGATGCTACATATCTATGATTTCAGTGAATATGCATGTTTGAAATGATTAATGAAGGATAATGAAACATGAATTCACTGGTACACATGTTCTTATTTACCATGTAAAAAATAATTATTGTAGAATATAGCTACACAAAATGTGGAACTTCTGTTTTCCTCCTGTCATTTGTAGATGTGCTCTCTATGAACTGTAAGTAAACTCACTCACTTACAGGATCCTAATTAGCAGGGAGTGCTCCAATACATTGTTTGCAGTCACATGATTACGATGAGGCAGTATGTAAAAGGCAGAATAGATGAGATTCCTAGTCTGGAATCAGCCAGTTATTTCTTGAATTATGGCTAACTCCTATTTTGAGGTCACAATGACCTATGACTTTTGAATCAAAAGTATCACCAATTCAGTGGCTGACCAACTGTGAAATATCCCCTTCTGCTACTGAGTTATGGTGTTGAACAATGGCCAAATAATGGTCACAGTAAAGCTGACGTTTGACCTTTTGGGTAAAAAATGTCATGACTTCATCGTTGAATCACATTTACCATCTGTGTGAAAAAAACATGTTTTTCAAGGTAATTTTGAGTGTCGCCAATTCCTTGTCGGACAGATTGATGAAATATGGTCATCAATTCTTGAGTTATGGCCAGGAAACGTGTTTTATGAGGTCACAGTGATCGTAACTTTTGACCTAATCTAATCAGTTCATCCTTGCTCAATCCAAGTGCACGTTTGTGCCAAGTTTGAAGGAATTCCCTCAAGGCGTTCCTGAGATATTGCGTTCACAAGAATGGGACGGACAACTCGAAAACATAATGCCTCTGGCCACAGTTATCGCCAGCGTAGAGGCATAAAAGCGACTATTAATTAGGTTTAAGTTTGAGAAATTAAAACTGTAATGATTTGAGTGTTAAGACTGACCCCATTTCCACAATGCTGCTGCTGTATTTAAGCTGTGTTGAAGCTATGTGTGTCGGTTTGTGTGAAATGTATAACCACTTGACCTTGTAATGTTGCATAATGTTAAAATACCCAAGAGAACTACTTATATTTGTGTATATAACACTTTTCTTCAATCATAACAACAGCAAATGACAAAATTTAAATACATTTAAATCACTTAAAACAACATGACTAGCCTCAGGTTATTCAAGAGTATAAAGAAACATAAAATACATACACTCTATGGCCAAAAGTGTATGCTTGTCTTTTTCTGTAGCTATTTTTCATGGTTTGGTTCCAGTGATATTACAATGACAATAGTGTACTTTCAACTTTGTTTTTTCCTATTCCAATGCTTCCTGTGGTCAACACGAGGTCCATAAAGAAATGGCTGCCTTTGCAGAGCACTGAAACCCATCAAACACCTTATGGACACCTGGGATGAAATGGACCACCAACTGTGAGCCAGGTCTTATCACCAATCAACCGTACCCAAACTCAGTGTTGCTCTGTGGCTGAATGGAAGCAAGTCCCTGCTGGCAGGTTTTAAAATCTTGGAAGATGTCCAACAGGCATACATGGGTGTAATATTCAGGTGTCCATATACGTTTGACCACGTAGTGCATACAAATTTAATACATTTTGCAATATTTGAGTTCATACAAGAAAAAAAGAGGTATGTTACACAACTAAGCATATCCGTAGCCTTTAATGTCAGGGCGACACTACTTGTTGCAGTTTGATTACATGATTACCAGGAAAGAAACATCACATCAGTACACTGCAGACTCCTTGGGTCCAAATGTCTTCTTATCACTGTATGACTACTGTGAACTGCTTTGATGTTCAGTCAAGTGAGTTCTTCGTTTTCTCTGAATAGATTGCTTTTTGGCAAGTTTTGTAATTTGCAATTAAGACTAATGTGACACCAGTTTATATTTGAATGGACATTTAGCTAATTGCAGCCGCATATTATCACAGAGCCACCATCATGTTATTATCTCCTACTGTCATCATCTTAACATTTCATTAAATATGATTAAAGTTTACACTCACTGTACATTACTGAGAAGGCATGTCGAAAATGTATTACAAAAAGGGGGATTGTAATTGCAGGGTAAAATGGTGCAATAGTTGCCTAAAAGGCTGTAATATCTAAAGTACGACAATTTACTCTGCCGATGCATTCACAAAGGCTATTGCTCTTAATTACTGTGGGGGAAGGCACTGTAACTGTGTCAATGAGCATATAAATGGAGATGAGGCGGATCTCACCTTTTCATGGCTATGGTTGTAATGGTAGAGGAATTTTGCACATTCGTTATAATTGGCCCATGTCTTGTTGGTTGTGGCCTGCTCCCACGTTCCGTTGTTGTCACACCGACGGTATGCTAGTCCTAGACACCAACAAAAAAGTCTATTTTTAATTACAGATTTTGCCAGTTGTTTGCCAACACAATTACTCATCCTCAGCTTGATTCTTAATTAGACCTGCATAATTGTATAAATTGCAAACGAGGTTTCAGATTGGAGCTCACATTATGATTGTACAGTGTGCAACAGCATCAGAGGCCTGGTGCTCTTTCACCAGCTGAAAATGAGCTTCAGGGTTGTGACTGTTGACTTTATCAAGGGCCAGTCTTACCTTTATGGTTGAAGTCATAGATATACTCTGGACAGGCGGTGGATACAAGCTTTCCCGGAGGCCCTTCTGGCCAACAAACAATGCCGTCCCATTCTGGTGAGCAGAAACCATCTGTAGAGATAAAAAAGCAGCACTGACTTTTAAAAACAGAGCCAGAGTGCTGTTCTCCATTGGTTCCAGCATTACATAGCTATAGGCATTTGCAAGAGGAGCAGTGCTGTATGTTTTCAAGGATTCAGCTGGCCTTTAAAAAGTAGGCCAGATGCATGAACTCTACCCCACATGCAAATTAGGACTGAGAAACAGCCTTGTAATTTGTGGTTTATGTGACTGTAAATTAGGAAAAAATATTTTTTGTTTAAGGAAAACATGGGTCACGCAGAGAGCCAACTCTCTATCTATTGTAATATAATTAAGCTTTGCAATCATGGAATTCCCAGCATGCTGAAAACAAGTTGTCCATTGAATCTAACGTGTTCATTAAAGCTTGTTTGTCAGCTACAGCAGATTTCCGTAACTGCTACATTGTTGATAGCGTCATACTGTTTTAATGTTGTATGGAATTTGTTTAAGCATGGATCTTTTCCTTCAACACTGGCTGCATTGTAGTATCCTGAATAGTCTATTATGGCAAAATAAAAGTACAATGTTATATAGATAATCAAATCCAACTGAAATAGGGAAGCAACTAATAATTATCAATGTCATTATTAAATTATCTTGTTTTTACAATTAATTAGTTAATTGCCTTATTTGTCTTGTTTTGTCAGACCAACAGTCCAAAACACTGACATATCCAACTAATAATAATATCTGTAACATTGGGTATCAAAATTGTTGACAATTAAATGCAAAATATCTTCTATCAATCAACTAAACAATAATAACAATACAACTTAATTGTCATATGTCTTCTGGAATATCTCATCTTATGTCATCTATGCATTTCTTAGTGAATAAACATTACCTTGTAAACCAATTAAAAAATCACATATTATAACATCCTGTAATTACATTTCAGTTTTGGCTGATCAAATGAAACGTTTTACATTTTTGGGATTGTGGTGAGGAACATTAAGCATATAAAAAGTTGTCCAAGAATCAATATAACGTGGACTATTTTCCACGCTTTCTTGAACGTCTTGAGACTTTGTCCTCTATTTTCAGTCCAGAATGCGCTAGATGAGACTTTGTAATAATACATCTATACTTAGTTCAGACAAAGAGCTGCAGGTTCAAAGGGAAATAATGCCATTTCAAAGCGTAGAGCCCCTTAATTGTCAGCCAAACCATGGACCTCAGCCCTCTGATAGTGGGAGCAAAGTCCCTTTCCCCACAGATTCCTGGCAAGAGCCTCCCTTATGGCTTGGCATTTATGTTGTATTATTGAAAACATCTGCCCCATTTTGACCACTAATAAGTAGCTAAGGATAAAACTAAAACTATCCTCTCTTTGCAGTAGATCCATTATTTTCTCATTCCTGTAATCAAACTTACAAAGAAACATCTGAAGCAATGACGACATGCTTTTTATTTGCCTGTCACTTGGAGCACAAAATTAAAGAGCAGACTGAGTGGAGCTGACTGATTCCTACAGATCTCTGGTGGGAGAAAAACAGCGTTTAGTTTTGAAAATCACGCTGACCACACATCCTGGGAGTAAAAGTAGAATTGCTGTTCATTTTTGCCATAGATTTTATTGCAATAGGACCACCTACTAACAGGCTTAAATTAAACACCGAACACACACACACACATCATTTCCCGTACATTTCTTGACCACGATTTAAATATAAACGTGACTATGGGGGACTTTGGTATTAGTGATGTCACTGGGGTTTTTAATAAGGTTTTCTTTCCCCCCCAACTCATTTGATTCGGACTTGCAGATGTCAAAACACATATTGCATTTTCTCATGATACGTGCAACCTTTTTATAATGATTGCTGATGTTATTCTACACCCAGACCACAAGCTTGAAGGCTGAGCTATTTTCACACTGCAAGGTCTGGGGCATTGAACCCACATCCCTCCACTGTGCTCTCCAGGCAAACCTCAGTGTTTCCCTCAATGAAAACCTTGTCTCTGTCACGTAATGGAGACTTTTGTGTATTTAAAGCACAAATGAGAAATAAAAACAAATTAAATGCTGAAATACAACAAATAGGTTTTAGCCTTACATGGGATCTAATCACTTCTCAATGGAACTACAGTTGCATGATCAATTCACATCTCACACTAGCGTTTTAAAATAGTCATCACTCCGCCTCTCTTATAATAGTTCAGAAAACCACGAGTTTACAGTGCCAGAAAAAGACTCTGGGGGTGGTCAGGCAGGACACAGGCAAGACAAATACAGATGTAAATCCAAAGTTCTAAAAAATGCATACTAGCTGCTATTCTTTGAGTTTACCTCAACCCACAGATTCAAGGTCACACCACAATACATGAAAAAAATTACAAGAGAGAATTCTGTCCAAATCCGGGTGACCACTTCAAGGAAAACACTTACATGGGTCATCAGAATGCACAAGTAAGGCTTTCCTTGAACTTTATCTCAAATCTTGACAGTCTCTTAAATTTGACTGAAACACAAACCACTACCCAGATTTTAAATGATTTCCACATTACATAATTATAAACAAACAACCAGATGAGGCACTTAAGTTCAGCTCAAGTTCAAATGAAATGAAGTCAAAGTAATTCATGTGCCATTAAGTAAAGAAAATTTCTAATCAAGCATGTTAAATGAGCACATGTGGGCTTATCCAGGCATCAAGCACAACCACACCGGGGACACAATTGTTTTTTTCTTTATTAAGCTAACATGTTTATCTTAATTCCTTTAACTGTTATTGAACAAACATGTGCAACCTTCCAAAAGAGGTCAGAGAACAGCCACTTCATGCAGGATGAGTCATATTAAGTGTGCCAACATCATCAGGTATGCATGTCAGCTCTCATGTGCTGATCTACCTTGAAAACAGCACCTCAAGCATTTTACAGAATGATGGGCTTGTTAGAGTCTTTAAATCAGTCCCTGATGTACAGGGCAGGGACAGGGAAACA